TGGGGTGTGTTAAAGTTTTGCTGCAGTTCCTCCCGTTCCTTACAGGGTAGAAATTGGGCCACTATGTCCTCTGGCTGCACTTAGCCCATTAGCTTCCTTTGCCTTTTCCCAACACTGATTCGGAAGTAATACATAAAATACAACTAAATAAATGATCCTGTCATACCTGACAAAGGAAACATTTTTCTAGGATAAAGCTCTAAGTATCTCCACTGTTAGAACAGAAAGTGAATAGAGCTTATCACGGAGGATCAGAGGGCCGTTTCACAGAGCCCTCAGGATCAAAGGACCTCAAATTTAGATCCTTGGCCTCATCTCCAAACGAAAAGCACTAGCAAAGACAAGTGAACAAAACTCAATGAAGCCCTGGCTGGCATAGCTCAGTGGATTGAGTGCGGGCTGTGAACCAAAATGTCACAGGTTCGATTCCCAGTCAGGGTACATGCCTGGGTTGCAGGCCATGACCCCCAGTAACCGCACATTGATGTTTCTCTCTCCCTCTCTATCTCCCTCCCTTCCCTCTCTAAAAATAAGTAAATAAAATCTTAAAAAAAAAAACAAACCCCTCAATGAAGACATCTGCTCTGCAGCTTTAAGCATATGTCCCAATACCAGACCACGCTTTCTATATTGCCCTGCAAGTTAATATTTGTTATCAGTCCTATCATTATTTGTAACTAGCGGTTATATTGCAGTGCATTCCTTAGTTTGGCATTCTAATGTTTTAGGTATAAATATTTAAAATTTTATCACTAATTTTATAACACCGCTTTGATGTTTCCTCATTCTGTAACAAATCAAGAACCTTTAAAAACTTAGGTTGCCAGATTTAGCAAAGAAAAATGGAGGACACCTATTTAAATTTTCATTTCAGACAAACAAGTAATATTTTAGTGTATGTCCCTGCAAAATTTTGGACATACTTGCACTAAAAAAAAAAAAGGTGGGTTGTTTCCGTCAAATGAAAATTTAAATGGGTGTCCTGTATTTTATTTGGTAGCTCTGCTAATGGAAACAGCCAGCTTGTCCGCCCCTGTGTTCCCCCAGAGTGGGCGCGAAAAGGAAATAGTGCTCATCGAGTGTCTGCTGTGTATGAGACAAGAGCATGACAAGTGTGGTATCATTTACGCCTCGCAGCAAACCTCACATATATTATCACTGCGCTTGACAGCGAACACAAAGTTGGAGTAATATATCAGGGTGTGACAGCAGAGACGAAATGAACCGAATTCAGGCTTGCTTCCCCGAACTTGTACTTTTTTCCCCCAGCAGCGCACATGCCCATCAGACAGCTTTCAGATGGCCTCTTTAAAATAAAGGTTTTAATAAATATAGGGGAAGAGTTCTGGCAATATTTCAAAAGCTATTCTATCATAACTTAATATTTCATATGAAATATTACATACGAAATATTGCATTTTCATATCTAATTAAATTCGTTTGCCTCCAGTGTCATGGGATTATAAGTGAAATATATGCATAACCAGACACGTTTCAAAGAATTTATATCAGTGAAGAGTTTTGCCTTAGGAAGTTTGCGTAATCTCTTTGGATTTACAGTTTCTTCATCTGTAAACGGAGGGTGTTCTGTGACCGCTAAAATGCTTTCCAGTTCTCTCTATGGTTAAGGGTTTCCACACCTCAAGAGGGAAAACATACTGAACGTTATACAGCTCTCTGCTGCCACCTGCAGGAAGAATTACAGCACCTATTTCTGCTTGACAAGCGTTCTTTCGGTAACCCCAGTCAATCCCCTTGATCCTTAGGTTTGTTTGCTTAGCAATTCCAGCCAATTAATAAGAATTATAGTTTTCGGAGTTTTCCCAGTTTAAGTGTTTTCAATTTGTAAAGAATTCCAAATGAGTCAAGCCTCAACTTTGACTCTCTGGAAATTCATTTCTTCACAGTTTACCCCACAGGGGAGTATTAGTCATACTTGTCCCGTGGTTTGTGATGACTGCCTTGCCAAGTCTTCTCATACAGAATTTGCTCTCATTGCTGTTAGGGCCGAGTTCACGAGGTCTGATAAGAAGTACTTAACAGAACAGAAGAATTTTTTTCTTAAAGCATCTTTTGAAGATTTCTGAAACATTTCTTTTTTGTGTTTTGAGAAGACAAGGATATAATGCCATCTACTTTCTCACAGACACACACAAACTGGCACGCACATATTTTCTTAAAAATCAGACTGCTTTATGTCTAAAAGGTCTAGATTTTTTGAAGGTTTTATTTACTTTTATTTTTAGAGAGGAAGGGAAGGAGAAAGAGAGGAAGAGATAAATCATTGTGTGGTTGCCTCTCGTGCACTCCCAGCTCAGAACCTGGCCAGCAACCCAGGCATGTGCCCTGACTGGGAATCGAACCAGCAACCCTTTGGTTTGCAGGCCAGCACTCAATCCACTGAGCCAGGGCAGAAAGTCTAGATTTTTAATTAGAAAAAAACTTTCCTAAATTAAAGGCTAAGTGCTGGCCTTAATTTTTTTTTACATATCAACTTTATTTTTTAAAGTAGTTTTAGGTTCACAGCAAAACTGAGTGGAAAGTACTGAGATTTTTTGGTCCCTGCCCTCCCACACACGCACAACCTCCCCCTGCACCAACATACCCCACAGAGTGGTACATTTGTTAAAATTGATGTGTATAAATACATCATTGGCTTCCAAAGTCTGTAGTTTACATTAGGGTTCATTTTTGGTGTTGTATATTCTATGGGTTTTGACAAATGTATAATGAGATATAGCTAGCATTATAGTATCACACAGAATTGTTTCACTGCCCTAAAAATCCTGTGTTCTGCCTATTCATTCCCCCCTCCTCCAAAGCCCCTGGCAACCACTGATCTTTTTACTGTCTCCACAGTTTTGCCTCTTTCACGTGTTATATAGTTGGAATCATAGCCATATGTAGCCTTTTCAGATTGGCTTCTTTCACTTAGTAATATGCATTTAAAATTCCTCCAGGTCTTTTCATGGCTTAATAGTTCATTTCTTGTTAGCACTGAATAATATTCATCTGGATGTACCACAGTTTATTAATCTAATCACTTACTGGCAGACATCTTGGTTGCTTCCAAGTTTTGGCAATCGTGAATAAAGCTGCTATAAACATCCATGTGCCGGTAATTGTGTGGATGTTAGTTTCCAACTCCCTTGGGTAAATGTTTTGTAAGAAATTTCCAAACTGTCTTCCAAAGTGCCTGTACTGTTTTGCAATGAATGACAGTTCCTATGGTTCCACATCCTCACCAGCATTTGGTATTATCAGTGTTTTGGATTTTGGCCCTTCTAATAGGTGCATAATGAGATCTCATTGTTGTTTACATGTGCAGTTCCCTGATGACATATTATGTGGAGCATCTTTTCATATGCTTATTTGCCATCTGTATATCTCCTTTGGTGAGGTATCTGTTCAGGTCTTTTGCTCGTTGTTTGTTCATTTTCTTAGAGTTGAGTTTTAACAGTTCTTTGTATATTTTAAATTACAGCTCTTTATCAGATGTTTCCAGCTAGTATTTGCTCCCAGTCTGTAGCTCATTGGCTTTAATTTTTTAAAATAATTAAAACCATTTTCCAGAGTTCTCATCATAATGCTAACTAAAAGTGAAGCCTGAACAATTCAATCATAAAATATAAAATATGGGATTCAATTTATTGCTAGTTGGGGTTGAACTGGCTTTAGAGGGTGGAGGCCAAAGGCCATTTCCTTCGTATCTGAATGCAGATTATCTCAGGATTTTCTCGTAGAGCTGCCTAGAGCTTGATGCCGTCTAAGGGTTCATAAAATCAGAATCCCAAACCATTCTGAGCACTAATCGTGGGGGAAGGCTTCTTTTGAAAAAAGAGTGTGAAAGGAGGTAATACCCACTCACAGCTGTGCTATTTGCTCCTTCTGACTCATCATATCCCAACAGAGCTATGAACTGGCTTAAACATTGAGTACATTTATTTATTACCATCTTTCAGTTTATGATGACACTCATTTAAAAATATCCAGTCCTGGCTGATGTGTCCCAGGGGTTGAGTGCTGGCCTGTGAACCAAAGGGTCACTGGTTTGATTCCCAGTCAGGGCACATGCCTGGGTTGTGGGCCAGGTCCCCAGCTAGGGGAGTATGAGAGCAACCACACATTGATTTTTCTCTCCCTCTTTCTCCTTCCCTTCTCCTCTATCTAAAAAATAAATAAATAAAATCTAAATGCAACCTCCTCAGAGGGACCTTCCAGGCCTGTCTATTTAAAGTAGGCACAGGTGCCCACCCTCACCTTATTTTGTTACCTTATTCCCTCCATAGCATTGCTCTCTATCTGTAGTTTATTTTGTCTGTTTATTCTGCTATCTTGCCCATTAAAATAACAAACTCCATTAAGGCAGGAAACTTCGTGTGTCCTGTTCTCTGTCCAGTGACTGGCGCAGTGCAGGCTTCAGTAAATAGCTACTGAGTGAGTTAATTAATGAGAACTTAATGTTCAAGGGAGGACGGCCAACCTAGACAGATGCGTCTTGGACTCCATCTTGCGAGGCTGGAGGCCCTCAACTTTCTTTGATTCCAGGGATCCAGATGGGTTTCAAAGGGAATCTTTGGAAGTTGTTTTCCAACAGAAGTTTTGATAAAAGCTCTTGTAACTTATCCTATTGCGGGTGGGGGAAATAAAAAATAGACTTAAATCTAGGTTCAAAAGAACAGGAAGTGGTTGAGAGCAGATGTGTGGCTCGCTCGATTGGGGCTCTTCCTTTGTACCCTCCCCTCCCCCTCCCAGTCTCATGGCTCCACCCCTTCCTGTCCTTGGCCTGGGGCTCCAAGGATCTCGTGTTGTTAATTATTCATGAGGGAGGAGGGCACTGTGGGAGTCGGCCTTTCTTATTATTCATGAGGGGGCGTGGCTCCCTCCCGCTGGGGCTCCTGGGAGGATTCGAAAAGCTTCTCGAGGCCTCTGGGGCTCCTGGGAGGCTGGAGCGCCGCTCCGGAGCGGAGCAGAGCCGGACCTTCTCTCTCCTCGGAGGGAAAACCTTGAGGAGACTTTTTTGTTTTGTAAACATTAAGAAACGTGAGGATGGTGGGGCAAAACGACTAGATCCCATCTTCCTGTGATCCTTTAGCCGGAAAACTGTCAAAATCTGTGGTAAAAAGAGATTTGTTTCCCCAATGTTCTCTCGAGATCGTTTCCGCTTCTGATGGAGTGAAGGGGGAAAAAAATGCATCCCGGGGTGGTTTGAGTCTCCCGTCGGCCAGTTTCTCTGGTACGCCCTCCCTAGGTTACCTCTTCGGAGACGTTTTGGGCTAACACCCGAGCAGATGGGGCGGGTCTCTTCAAAAGGGGTTTTCTGAAAAGTTCAAACAAACTCGAAATCCCGGTGAGTTGCTGGCGGACGGTTTTTTTCCGGAAAGGCGGGGTACAAGCTCACCCAAGAGGGCGCTCGAAGCCTTTCCCAGAGAGTCCCAAGTGCGTGGGAGGGCCTGGGGCTCGAAAACCCTGTAATTCTGAGATTTGGGTCGGTGATTATCGTCCTCCGGAGCGGTGAGAGGGAACCAGTAATTTGGGTTTACCCCTTGACATTTCTCCAAAAAAAGTCTGCTAGCTTCCCCCCCCAAAACGTTCAGGTCTGAGAGGAAAACGTAAACTCGTAAAAAAAAAAAAAAAAAAAAAGAGGCTTTCGTGTAGAAGGACCCAGGCTTTGCGTCTTCACCCTCTCGGGGGTTTGAATTGTGTATTCTTCCCCCCCCGGTCGCCACGCCAGAGGCCCCCGGGCAGCAGGGGCCCCGGGCGCCCCAGGAGCCCGCACGGTCCGCAGAGAAGCGAGTCCTGGGCCGGATTGGCGTCTGAGCACGATGGTAGTGCTTTAAAATGCCTACTGGGAGCGGGGAACCCCCCCCCCCTTACGGATTAAACAAATGAAGGTTCTCCCACTTGTTGGAGTTCTATGCAGCCCTGAAAATGCATGACTTGTAGAAGCATGTCTGCTAGCGGTGGAAGGGGTTGCAGTCGCGACGGTAATTGGAAAAGGGTACAAAACACTATGGACAGGGATCCCTCCCTCCCCCCCCACCCTTTTTTTTTTGTTAAAAAGAAATATAAACATGAAATTCTGGCATGCTGTAAACCAAAGTGTTTACAAGCACATGTCATCATTGTTTTGTTTTTGTTGTATTTTGGAAACATTTTAGCAAGGCACAGGTTACATACTATAAATTCAACGATTATTTGTAAAATATCTGCTCATTTAAACGGCCGTTGAAGCTGAAGCAAAGCGCCTTGGCACGTAAGGTCTTGGAGGAGGTTTTCCACTGTGTGTTTCACTAAGCACCAAACTTCTGGGCCGTGTGTGCAAGTGCGTAACCGATTTTCAGCTGGTATGAGTTGATATGTAACCTTTTAGGATAAATACGTAACAGTGTGATTTTAGCAATTTCCTGACGGAAGGAGACCGTGCATTTTGGTCAAATACACTTGTAAGTCGGAGATGAAACGTCTCAGTTGTTACTTCGTAAAGGAGGAGCTTCAGCCGGGAGTTGTGGTTGCCCACTCGCGCTCGTGCATTACGTGTGCATCGCATGTGCGTGTACTTTGCACGTGCATGTACATTGCATGTGCTTGTACATATACAAGGTCAGGCGGTGTTTTCTGGGTCGGGGCCACAGTGACAATGTCACTGTGTGTGACACGGTTTTGTTGGTTTTTTTTAAGTTATTCTATAGTGTAAGTAAATGATCGGTGACTTTAGTAAGTTTTCTCCAGGAAATGTTCATTTTGAAATCAAGTTATGGAAGCCCTTCCTGAGACTTATCAGTGACTATTATTATCCAAAGGTGAAACTGAGGGACATGTATTGTTTATTTATTTACTCGAGTCTTAATTGATTTGATAAGTCTTTCATTTCACTGCTTGAAGTCTCTAAAATGAAAGTCTCTATTTTTTATCCTTTTGTTTTTATTGTTTCTGACAAAAGATGTCAGTGTTCAGTTTTAGGGAAATAGAAAAACATTACTACAAAACTTTAAAGCTACATTGAATGTGTTGAATTTGTTATATTGGTTTCTTTTGTAAAGTTTTTTCTATATGTAAAAATTTTTGCATATTTTTCTTAGAACGTATTTTACCCAAATACATCCTCATTTTCTACTAAAACTCTTCATCGATCTAGAATATTTGGCTAAGAAGGAAAATATTTTTAAATATTTCACATCATACTGAGATGAATAAGACTCTACTGGTGGGAACTCCATACATTGGACACCGTATTAAAAGTTTTGTAAATATACAGTGACAACTATTTCCCATAAAAAATATCAATCTCTTCATTAAAAAAAAAACCCCCATCTCTTCATCACTATAATGTTCTTTTTTTCTTTTTTTGTCTCTTGTTTTTTTGTTTTTCTAACCAGGATAAGTTCACAAGATAGGAAAAAGGATGGCATCTAGAGTGAATACCAGTTTCACTTTGATTCCCAACCAGAAATATAGACGTAGTAATCGTCGGTCCAGCTGTGTTTCCAGCACCCTTTACTCCGATTCTCAGCCCTTATCAACGCTTGGAAATTTTAAAGCCTTGCCATTGGAAATATTCCAAATAATCTTAAGATATTTGTCAGGTGAGGTTTGGGGACTATGAGCAAGCTACATAGACACTCAAATATTCTTATTTTCCCCCAAAACTAGTTTGTCATCTTTGGCCCCACTAGAATTAGTAGTGTTCATGTTAAGTTTATTTTATAAAGCTTTATTGTTATTAGGTAAGGGATACAGTGAGAAAGGAGAATACTCAAACTCTTTAAGCATGCTTCTCATTATAATGACATGGTGTATGACAGTTACATCCCAAAATATTTCTAATTTATTGAGCACTGGGTTTAAAGCAATTTTAGATTTCCCTCTTTAGTTTTACTATTATTTAATATTATTAATGGGCTAACATAAGTTTTCACATTGTGCTAACAGTGACATTTTTGTATCTAAGCCATTCACACACATGTATGTATTTTTCCTTTGGTAGTGAAAGACATCAGCATACTAAGCATGGTGTCCAAAACTTTCAGCCAGCACATTGTTAATTATATCTCGACCGCATCAGGAAGCAAAAGGCTTTTACTACAGGACTTTCACAACCCTGAGCTGCCTGGCGAGAGACAAGACTCTGCTATGCTGGAACACTACAGATCTCTAGGTAACTTACATAGTAGGAATTGTAACAAATAAAGAACCATACTTAACTAAGGGGATTTTATCATACAATTCTGTAAGACTCATGGGAAATAGAATATTTTCTAATATGTGCCTATTTCTATGATGCTTTTACTCTTCAGTGTGAGGACTTTCCCTTAACAACATTTCCTTACATTTAAGTTTAAAGGTGAGAGAATGCAATTTAATGTAAAAAGTGTGAGCCCTTGTGATGTCATGTGGATACAGTGTCACCTATGCGTATTTTCTAGGTGACTTACCAGTTTAGGAAATTGATGTATTTTCTATGGTTCTGATGAGTTTTACCTTGATACCTTTTTTCCTTTCAACCATAATCTGGGCCTTAACATAGAAATTTAAACACATTATTGTGGAAGATCATTTCTTCTTTTATCAGAAACAGTGTTTTTTTAAAGCACTATATACATTTACTAATAAATCATTATGCTGTGATTAAATTAACCTTATCAAAGGAAATTTCTGTGATCTTTTGCCCTTGATTTGTATTCATCTTTTACCCCTTTTATTGATTTTTATTCTCCCTAAGAGTGCGGAAATAAAATTCTAATTTTGACTTGACTAATGACACCAATTAAATTAGAAATCACCTTCTAATTAAACAAAGTATGACAATAAAACCAAACATCAAAGTGATGTTGATATTTAAATAAAAGCATACAAAGTTAACTAACTTTTATCTTTTAGTAGCCAAAGAATGCCTAGCTTTAAGATAATAAAATAAGAATATATCGATGTATAAATATATAAAGCTGTATTGACAAGTATATTTTATAAGACTAAATTAAAGGTATGTAATTTGACTATAATGTTACTGGCTTCGATATTGAATTAGGCTTAGTAAAGTCTGTAACAGAATATGCAATTACTTTTTGCTACTTGTTATTGTAAATATTTTTTTGCAAATATCATTAGGTGCAGAGGAAATGGTAGTTGATTGGGTAAAAGTGCTTATTCTTTGGTTTTGATCTGAAAGAATTTTTTCTCCCTGACCAAGTCTCAATTGCTTAAACAAACAAAAAAAGCCTTAAGACAATTATATGGATAAGTCAGTTAAAAATACAAATGTGCATTGATCTTAATAGCTAGCCTTTTAAAACAGATTTATTCATGCAATGATTTCAACCTTACATTTAATTTTGATGCAGACACCTGGCTTATGACTGATTCTTTTGGTAAATGTTTGATGTACTTACCATTTTCTCCTGTTACTATTCCTGTCTGATCTGTTCTTATTTTCAGACATTAAAATAACATTTTCAGAATCCTGCTCTTTGAGTATTATAAATTTTAATTTGCTTCTTCACACAAAAACAGAGCAGATGGCTAGTGTGGAAAGAACATTACATCTGACTCTATTTTAGTAAAAAGAAATTAAAGAAGTTGGTCTCTAAAGGGTATCGCAGAGCACCTGTGTTAAAAAAAAGCCAGCTGGTATTGGTTTTTATGTTAAATTGCAACCCTTAAAAATAGGAGTTTTACATTAGAAAAGGCAACCAACATACAATTATAGCTTACAATTCCCCAGCTATGACACGCCATGGGACTGGATGCCAAAGCACAAAAGGAAAAAACTCAGTCTAAAAGCCAAACACTGAAAATGTCTTTTTATGTACAAAAATAGGGAGGGTTTATGTTTAAGACTTAATTCCGGTCATGTGTTACCCAAACATAACAACTTCTAAAAATAAATTAGATTCCCATATGTTCTATAGAAGTATATAAAGTAATATTTATATTATGTTAAAAAGTAAATGCAGAGAAGATGAAAACTGAAGAAAGTGATATACAGGTATATATATTTCTGCCATATATCTTACTTTTAATTTGAGGACATTTGCCCTCATAGGAATGTTAACAAAGTATTGCCATTTTAGGAAAACAGACCATTTAAAGTTAGAGGAAACAAATCATTCACTTCCTGTCACTGTAGTTGAAATTACATATCTCACTGGGAAATGGAAGGGATTTTGTTTCTTTTTTAAATATCTGGACAAAATTCTATACATTCTTATCATGCAAGCTCCATAAAAGGATATATTTGTAGAGAGAAATAGATAATTAATCCAAACTGGACATTTTCTGTGAGCAAAAATGACTTAAAGTCTCTGGAATTTTAAAGACTTATGACTTAAAATGTTTTTTTTAATTTTCTGAAAAGAATATAAAATCTGTTTTCCCATTTCTATGTTTTGCATTAACAATTCAAAACATTTTTCTTTGTGGACATGAGATTAATTTCAAGAGATACTGAAATATGTTTTCCATGGAATAAAGACAATATAAAGTTTCCCTAGTCTATTTAATGTCTTGTTATTGTATCTTTTTAAATCTAAATAATTTAAAACTTTTCCATATCTGTCCTATAGTATCAATTTCACAATATTTTATAAAATTTTATGCCAGTGCCTCTTAGGTAAACATCAAAGCCACTTGGTCATCAACATATAAATGTTTTACACCCTTCCTCCCAAACTTTCTCTTACAAACCACATCAGCTCACAGTCCACTACAGCATACCACACTTGACTTTCAGGAACCATTATGCTGTGCTTTATAGATATTTTTTAATTGATTGCATTGTCACCTTTTTTCATGTTGTTGTTTTTGTTTTTTTTTTTTTTACTTTCTCAGGTTTACTATTTAAAAGATGTACACTGTTGCTACCCACAAAGGAAAGACTAAAGTACATTCACAAGATACTCGCTGAAGTAAGATCATACTTCTTTTTTTTTAATTTATTGATTTTTTTGAGAGAGAGGGTAGGGAAGACAGACAGACAGACAGGAACATTGATTTGATGCTTATTTATGCATTCACTGGTTGATTCTTGTATGTGCCCTGACTGAGCATTGAACCTGCAACCTTGGCATGCTTTTGAATTAGTTCACAATCTTGATTTCTAGTGAAGATATTTTATCATTGTTTTATACTCATTTAAAATCTATCCTTAATTAGTAGAACTTCATGAGTTAGTATTAAACTGATCAATGATAATTTAATATTTTACCAAGTACTCAAAGATTATAAAACACCCAAATGTAGTGTAGTAGTCCTTTACTTATTATAAAATAATTTTATATATAACTAAGTACAGTACATCATTTAAGTTTATTAGGTTTATTCAAGTATAAGAGTCTTTTTACCTCACATGGGAATCATGAGGATGTTTTGAAGTAGTGATTTAGATGCTTTATTAAAATGAAATAATTTCTAAAAAAATGAAATAATTTCTGAATGTTAAAATATTACTGTTTAAATATACAAAAACATCAGAAAGTATTTTAATATATAAAATGACAACCCTTTTGTGATAATTTATGACTTGGATATGTACATCAGTGTATTGGGCATAATGTCTATGAAAAAAATGAGTTTTACTGCACCAACCCAAATGCCATGCTGATGGCTCAGTTCTACAACCAGTAGTATGCAAACTATTTCTGAAGCACTGGCTTTTTTCATCTCGATATTTGCATTGAATTCAGGTCTATATTATTGCAGCAGCTTCCCAGGTGATCTTTCTGCCATCCAGTTTCTTCTGTCCCCAACACATTCTGCACGCTGAATCAAGGTTATTCTTCCTAAAGCATCACTTTCATCAAGTTAATTTTCTTGCTTAAAAATCTTTCAGTGGCTACTCAGTTCAGCAAGACAAATTCCAAAGTCCAAAAGTGGTATTTAAGGTTCTCCCTAACAATACAACTGTACTTCCTATTACTTTGAACCTAGTTAAGTTGGTTATATCTTTCTTCCCAAATAAACTGTTTTATTCCTACTCCTATACAATTTCACCCTTATTGTTTCCCTCACCAATCCTTTCCATTTGTTATATATTTGAATCCTACTTTAAGACATTGCTTCTTTCACATCCTTCATAAGCTTTTAAAATCATTCCCAAATTTATCATTTCCCTGCTTTTATAGTGTCTGGTATCCTATTTTTCAGTCATTTTATCATTTTTATATATTCTAACCTGGATTATCAAAATAACTTCACATGTGTGTATCTTATTCTGCTAACTAAATTGTGAGCTCCTTGCCCTGGCTGGTGTGACTCAGTGGATTGAGCATCATCCTGTGAACCAAAGGGTCACCAAGTTTGATTCCCAGTCAGGGCACGTGCCTAGGCTGTAGGTCTCATCCGTGGTGGAGGGTGTGCAAGAGGAAACCACACATTGATGTTTCTCTCCCTCTCTTTATCCCCCCCTTCCCCTCTGTCTAAAAATAAATAAATAAAATCTTAAAAATAAAATAAATTGTGAGCTCCTTGAAGGCAGTCTTTGTTTTTTATGTCTTTTTTTTAAATAAAGATTTTATGTTATCGCTTCTCAGCCTTTTGGCTAAGATCAAGTTTAAAGATTTTATTTATTCTCAGAGAGGGGGTAAGGGAGGGAGAAAGAGAAGGAGAGAAAGATCCATGAGTGAGAAAAATGATGACTGGGTGCCTTTTGCATGCCCCTAACTGGGGACCTGTCCTGCAGCCCAGGCACGTGCTCTGATTGGGAACCTCACAGGAGGACCTTTCACTTCGCAGGCCGGCACTCAGTCCACTCAGCGACACCAGACACCAGGCAGGGCCTGCTTTTTATCTTTTGTAATCCCTACCTATATGACAATGCTAATCAATTATTTAACATGTTAGTTACTTTCAGTTAAGACTGAAAAAATGCTTACATAGTTCCATTAAATTTGAATGTCAAATCGTTTTACAGTCCCACTGAAAAGGATGAATTAATAGTTGTTCTCTTTACAGGTTTCCTGTTTTAAATTCAATGGCTGTGCAGCTCCTATGCAATGTTTAGGATTATCATGTTATGGCATGTTTTTACAGGTACATTTTTTAATTAAATATTTTATTTATTTATTTTTAGACAGAGGGGGAGGGAGGGAAAAAGAGAGGGAGAAACATCAATGTGTGGTGGCCTCTCATGTGGCCCCTACCAGGGACCTGGTCTGTGACCCAGGCATGTGCCCTGTCTGGGAATCAAACTGGCAATCCTTTGGTACACAACCTGCACTCAGCCCACTGAGCTATACCAGCCAGGGCTAAAATATCAATGTGTGGTTGCCTCTTGCACACCCCACACTGGGGAACTGGCCTGCAACCCAGGCATCTGCCCAGACTGGGAATCAAACTGGCGACCCTTTGGTTCACAACCTGGCACTCAGTCCACTGAGCCACACCAGCCAGGGCATGTACATTTTTTTTAATGAAAGAAGAAAAGAAATATTTTTGAACTGTTGACAAGTAGAACATGTAATGTATTATTCCATGGGTTAAAAAAAAGTAATAATAAAACAACAACAAAATAAAATTGTAAAGATTTGAGAATGTGTTAATCTAATAATGTTTGCTACCTCAGATTTTCTTCTTGGATTTCTCACTGGTAAGAAATGTTACATAGTTCTTTACCAAAGTCCTCAAAGTTTCTGTCCACTATTGTAAAGAGTAGAAGTAGTGTGAGGTGAGGAGTGTGTATGTGTGTGTGTGTATAATGAATTTTAAGTCTTGGGCTATTTATTTAAGATGTGACTTTAGAAATCAACTGTATGAAAAAAAATTGTAACTATGGGAGGTGATAGATGTAACTAACCTTATTATGATAATTAATTTGCAATATGTATGATATAAAACTACATTGTAAACCTTTAATTTATTACAATGTTATACATCAGTGATAATCTTAATAGAACTAGAAAAAATCAGCTATATAATTTTAAGAACACTTTTGACTAGTCTTTTATTGTAAATGAAGAAGATAATATCATTATAGTTTAATGTTATTCAATATTAATGTATTACTAATATACTATTCTTTTTTTTTAAATACCTTATTTATTTATTTTTAGAGAGGGAAGAGAGAGAGAGAGAGAGAGAGAGAGAAAGAGAAACATCAATGTGCAGTCAGTTGCTGAGGGTTATGGCCTGCAACCCAGGCATGTACCCTGGCTGGGAATCGAACCTGGGACACTTTGATTCCCAGCCTGTGCTCAATCCACTGAGCTACACCAGCCAGGGCTACTAATATACTATTCTAAGCAATGTACTAGCTTATTTAAAACTTACAACAACCTTATCAGGTTTACAATAGTCTTACAATAATCTTGCTTATATCCCAGCCTACCAGCCTGTCCCAAAGAAATGAAAAAATCTGTCTTGGACAGGTAATATGAACACATGTATTTATGTAAATTTCAAAAGGTACAAAATGATATAAAGTGAAAAGTAAGTCTTCCTCCAAAGCCTTGTCCACTGAGTATCCTTCAACAGAATTAACTAATGTTCGAGGTTTCTTGTATGTTCTTCCAGAGATAATAAGCTTAATTTTTATACTACTGAAATCTAGGTCAACTATTTTAAGAAAAATTTACGTGATTGATCAACTTTTTCAAAATAAAATTACAATTGACCCTTGAGCAACACAGGGGTTAGAGGTGCTAACCTACATACAGTCAAAAATCTATGTATAGCTTTTGACTCCCTCCCAATTTAAGTTGTTTCTTGGTATTCAAGGGGAATTGGCTCCAGGACCCCACATGGGTACCAAAATCCATGGATGCTCAAGTCCCCTATATAAAATGGCTTAGATCAATGCATACAGTCAGCTCTCCACATCTGTGTCCCCCCAACTTTGCACTGAAAACAGTACACATGGTGTGGCTCAGTGGATTGAGTGCTGGCCTATGAATGGAAAAGTCGCTGGTTTGATTCCCAGTCAGGGCATGTGCCTGGGTTGCAAGCCAGGTCACCAGTTGGGGGCATGCTAGAGGCAACCTATTGATGTATCTCTCACATTATCTATGTTTCTCTTTCTCTCTTCCTCTCTCTAAAAATAGATAAGTAAAATCTTAAAAAAAAAGAAAAAATCTTTTCTTTTTTCAAGTACACATATTTGTTGGGAAAAAAATCTGCATAAAGGTGGACCTGCACAGTTCAAACCTGTGTTGTTCAAGGGTCAATTGCATATGATACATCATTGTAATTTCTCTTTCATATATGTTTAACTGTACATTTGGGTTTACTAAAAAATAATTACTAAATTTTGTCCTAATGACATTTTTCTGTTCATATCCAAATGTCATAAATGCTTAGAAATTGTCACAGTAGGCGAAATTCTTATCATTTGTAAGCAATATCATAAATGATAGCTAGAGGGGATCAGAAGGGTTTGATTTTCATCTAAAAGTAGGCCACAGCTGGCTTCTGAGTCAGATGTCTAGAGCTGTGTTCTAAAATTCGTTATTTTCTTCATATGTCAGAGTTAGGTATTTAGTAGCATTGGAAGTTCTCTGAAAACATACGCCTTAAAAAAAAAGAAATTGAATTTGAAGCATTTCTATATTTTGTTTATGTAAAATTTCTTACTAGTTTCAACAGTTCCATCGGGGATAAAATCATATACACTACCTGGAGCATGTGCTGCAACAGTCACGTGTTCACAAGGCAGTGGTGACTTATGTTTTGATTTGATGGTCTGAACATCTGCATTGTTTCCTTCATTTTATTATCCTCAGATCTTAACAGCAGGTTGGGACGAACTGGAGTGCCATCGTGTTTTTAACTTCTTGTGCGAGCTGACCAGCCTCTCCCGCAAGGTGCAGACCACTGTCTTCAGCAAACCAGGTAAAGAACTACAGTTCAGAAATAATATTACACAGAAAATTAAAATAGAAAAAAACCCACAGTTCAAAAGTATATTTAAAAACAAATGGTGGCATTCATTTATAGGTAAAGAACCAAGAAATGTAAGGGAATGGTAACCACTGAATTGGATAAGAGGCTCAAGTCGCATGTAATTAGAGAAAGAGAAGTGCTCAGAGGCCTTCAGCTGTAGTAATAATATTTTGTTCCTTAAGATGGTGGAGGATACAAAGTTGTTCATGATAGTATTCTTTAAACCTTCGTATGTACCCGAAATACTTCATATTTCAAAAATTATGGGACCCTACAACCCAGCAGTTTCACTCTGAAACACTCCACGGTTTGCACAAGGAGACGCGTATAAGAACGAGGAGTGCAGCATGTAACTGTGGAAAGCGAAACAACCTAAGTGCCCACTGTCAGAAGGATGGATAAATGAACTGTGGCACATTCATGTAATTAAAACCCTCAGCAGTTAAAACAGATGAACTAGAACCAAGTGTGTTAATATAGCTAAATCTCAAAATGTAATTTGAGAGAAAAGGTTATCAAATTATACTTTTAATATGAAACCATTTATAAACATATTAATAACATGAGCCCTGGCTGGTGTGGCTCAGTGGATTGAGCACCAGCCTGTGAATCAAGGGGTCACTAGTTCAATTCCCAGTCAGGGCACACGCCTAGGTTGTGGGCCAGGTTCCTGGTAGATGGCTCACGAGCGGCAACCACACATTGACGTTTCTCTCCTTCTCTTTCTCCCTCTCTTCTCGTCTCTAAAAAATAATAATAAATAAATAAATAAAATATTTTAAAAATCCAAAAATAGTAATATAATAAAAACTATTGAATGATATGCTTTAAGTGGATAAAGTTCTATCGTATGTAAATTATACATATTTCAATATTGCTGTTAAAAAAAACACACAAAATACCACTTGACACCCACTAGGATGACTGGAATTGAAAGTCAGAAAGCAGGCCCTGGCTGGTGTAGCTCAGTGGATTGAGTGCCAGCCTGTGAATCAAAGGGTCACTGGTTCCATTCCCAGTCAGGGAACATGCCTGGGTTGTAGGCAGGGTCCCCAGTAGGGGGTGTACAAGATGCAACCACACATTGATGTTTCTCTCCCTCTCTTTCTCTCTTACTTTCCCTCTCTCTAAATCAATAAAATCTTTTAAAATAAAAATAAATAAATAAATAAATAAATTTTAAAAACAGTCTGGCAAGTTCTTCAAATGATTAAATATAGAGTTGCCATATGACCCAGCAATTTCATCCCTATGTATATCCACAAGAGAAATGAAAACACATGTCCACCCAGAAACTTGTACATGAATGTTAATAGTAGCATTATTAAGAATAACCAAAAGGTAGAACCAACCCACCTGTCCATCAATGAATGGGTGAATGGATAAGGAAAATGTGTTATATCTACAGTGGAGTATTATTTAACCCTAAAAATGAATGAAGTACTGATACCCGCCAGTATATGGATGAATCTTGAAAACATCATGCTAAGGGAAAGGAGCCAGTCACAAAATGCCACATACTCTATGATTCATTCGTATAAAACTCCATAGCAGGGCAATCTATGGAGACAGAAAGTAGAGTATTGGCTGCTTAGGGCTGGGGATGATAGAGTACGGAGGGAGGGGGGAGTGGTAGCTAAAAGAGCAGGATCTCTTTCTGAGGTGATCAAATGTTCTAAAACTTACTTGGTGATGGCTGCACATATCTGTGAATATACTAAAAACCTTTGAATTGTACACTTTAAATGGGCAAATTGAATGATATGTAAATTATATCTCAATAAAGCTGTTTTAAAATAATCCCTTGATAATCTAAAACTTTTACAGAGGAAAATGAAGTAATGCTTTCAATACAAAGCATATTAATGAAGTATGTCTTCGACCTGTCCACTATGCACATCACCCTTTCCAGGAAGAATGATTTACAAGTCTCTTTTCTTCATAGGAAATGCCCGAAAACTGGAGCTGAGGATCAGACTGTTCTGTAGGAATGTTCTGCTTGATCATTGGACACAAAGAAGCGATTCTGCTTTTTGGCTGACATGTATATTAAAGCCATGGCCAATGGTGAATCAGGCAAGATTGCTATACATCATTTTTGGACCAATATCTCCTCAGGATGGTGAGCATGTATTTTTTAGCAACATATGTTACAAAGCTGGTTAATTACTTTTACTTTAGGAAGCTTATCTTTTTGTGCCTGCTAAGTTTCATCATTCCTGATGACTAAACTGTTTCCCAGTTTCATAGATTTGTACTACATTAATCTGTGCATAACTTAAGCTTCAAGATAGAAATTGTTCCCTGAAGGCCATTACCAAGTATATTCCTATCATGTCTGGTTTACCTAAAATAGCTACTTTTCACTTTTAAACATTATATTAATTAAAGATTATACTTGCTGGAGGGGACCAGTAGTGCCAGTAAATCAAAGTTGTAATTGGAATTGATGTTTTACTTAATTTTGGGTGTGTAATATGATTTTTTGTGCATTTTTTTGCATTTCTAATGAATGTAGATTAATGTTAAAATTAGCATGCAGTTCTTTAGTTCACATTGCCTCACATCAGCAGGTAACCAGTTTAAAGTATGTTGACTAGCAGCAAGAAGCCAATCTGTGATAAAATTTTGTTGTGTAATTCACAAAGAGAATTGGTTGTAGGTAAATAATCAAAAATTGACTGGATTACTCTGTTTTGATTAAATATTTGGAAGATCCTCAAATACAGAATGTTCTCTTGTTCAGGTTTTATTTTATTTCAGTAAGATTACATTAACTGTCTATTCCAATTTCTGTTTTAGGGATAGCATTATCTTTGAACTGGAAGCTACGCTTGGTGATACTACCTTTTCCTCATTCAGCTGTTGTTGCTCTGCTTCATCATATCAGTCAGAGACATTCAAATTTATATTGTTACTAAAATTGACTTTCCTTATGAAAGTAGCATATATAAGTAATGAATTCCATTATGCAATCCAATTTCCTTTTTAAACAATCCATGAAGTCTTTATCACAAACCCAACTATTCTGTCATAACCTAATTTTTGTTTCAATTATTCAGGACAAGTGGTTTGGCAGAAAATGATAGAAGAACCTACAGATGAATCCAGTCTGAAAGGTTTGGCTGATGCCATTAACTTATTATATGACACAGGCATCAAAGAGTGGACAGCAGATGATGTTATCAGTCTTATAGATGAACTATCAGGTAAAATAATATATTTATCTCACAGAGAAACAGAAATTTATTATTAGAATACAGTTATAAAATAAGGATAATTGTACAGGTAACAAATGACTCGCGTATTTGAAATCAAGTGCTCTAACATTTAAAGAATTGGCATGTTTGAAGAGAATGCATATAATGAACTTACTTTCCTTTAATTATGAATGTTATAAGTATATATTTATTACTATTATTATTTGAAAGCTTCATAATTATTCTCATCTTGTAAGTTCTCAGAAACACCCTTCTAGGTTGTCTAAAAAGAAACCCTTTCCTAATGGTATGGCAGAGGTGAAATGATTTTTCCCATTTATGCATAATCCTTGAGATTCTGAAGTTTTCAAGATTTCTTTCCTTTCATGGGATTAGGACACCTTGCCTGTTGATCTCTGTGTAGGAAAGATGCTTTGACTATATTACTAGTACATCTGTGAGACCTGCCATGACATGGCAGTAATCTCTGTCTCCAGTTCAATGCTGTAACTGTAAAACTAAAGCATTTTTTCTGAGCTTTTCCCTTGACGCTAATTGTATTTCCAATTAAATGATGTAATAGTGCTTGTAATTAATGATGGTTACTCAAGCTATCGTGCAATTTCTCATTAAATAACTGTTCTTCCTCTAATAAAAGTGGTTCCTCGGGAGTGGCTTCTAGAAAATAACGCGCGTCTCCTAATCCTGTGCGGGAACGACATCTGTTTCACGTTCATGGCTAGTAAAGCTGTGAACGGACGGGCCACTGAACTCGCAAGACTGATAGTCTTTCTGGCTTTGGTAAGTGAAAAACGAGTTTTTCTCTGACAAGTTGTTTAACATTATAGTTGACCTGCCAGGGAGCTTTAGTTCCTGAAGGAACTAAAACATGTACAAAACACTTTGAAAGAATAAGTACATAAGTATATATTTTATACATACTTGTAAAATTTTGCAGTGTATGTAATAATAAACTATCAGATTTGGAATTATTCCCTGTATTACCCTCTCCCCACTTCATGTCTAGATTGTCATTTTACAGCTCTGCCAAGTTTTATTATTTTTTATTTTTATTTAATCTTTAAAATTAATTTGAGAGAGAGAGAGAGAGACATCGATCTGTTGTTCCCCTTACTTACGCATTCATCAGTTGATTCTTGCATGTGCCCTGATAGGGGACTGAACCCACAACCTTGGTGTATCAGGATGATGCTCCAAACAACTGAGCTACCCAGCCGGGGCCCAAGTTATATTCTTTAAAAAAAAATCTGTTAGAAAATAAAGTGCTCCATTTGATTTGCTTCAGAATAACCAATGAGCAGCAGGGAGAGGATGTGGCCGTGAATGGAGATGAAGGTGAATCAAGATGGATAGGCCAGAAAGTGGGTACAGGGGGCTCAGTATACTGTTCTCTCCACTTTCACAGTTAAAATGTTTTTCAAAACAAAACACTTCAAACTATTTTTAATATTTATTCATTTTACACAAATTGAGTTTTTACTATGGGCCATACATTGTGTGAGATTCTAGAACTATGGAAATTAACAGGACAATTCTCTAACCAAAAGCTGCTTACAGTCTTTTAAGAGATACCAAGGTATATGTAAGTAAATTCAGTGAGACAAGAGTAAAAATATATGTACAAAAAGATACAAGCAGAGGTAGCGAAAAGGAACCAATGCCGGTGAATGTTGAGCACAAAGAGGGTTTTCCCAATCCCAATTTGTTTTAAAAAACGAGTAGAAGTTCCCCAGGCAGATAGACAAGACAGATAATTTATTGTGCTACCATCGCGGATGCCTGCTCAACCAGTGCTTCAAAAGCAATGAAATAATCTTCCAGTTGGCTGTTGTGAGGAATACTTGGATGTAGTCCATTTCCTATGAAATGGAGACGGGATCATTACCAACTCAGCTGCTGAAAACATGAATGAAACTTCTGTGGCTCTTTTTGAAATGTGAATAAAGCTACTAAATTAACTATTTTCAATATAAATGTTTACTTTCTTTTTTAATATTTTATTTATTTATTTTTAGAGAGGGGGAAAAGAGGGAGAAAGAGGGGGAGAGAAACATCAATGTGCAGTTGCCTCTTGCACACCCCTAGCTGGGGACCTGGCCAGCAACCCAGGCATGTGCCCTGACTGGGAATCGAACCAGTGACCTTTTGGTTTGCAGGCTGGTGCTCAATCCACTGAGCTACACCAGCAGGGGCAAATATTTATTTTAATAATTAAGCCGATTTCGTCCAAAAGAGAAAGAGAAATGGAATTTCATGGCTATATTCACGTAACTATAAGCAGCCCAGTATTGTTTCTGAAGGGTAAAATGTGCAGAAGAGGAAAAGAAGGTGAGGTTAGACAGAAAGGGAGAGGCCAGGTAGTGAAGGGTCTTACGTAGACTCTCTGCGGAGCTCGGACACATCCCCTAGTAGGGAGCTGCCGAAGAGTTCCGGGAAGGGGAGAGACACCACCAGCTTCAGGTTTGGGAAAGGTCACTTGGGCAGCACCATAGCAAACAGAATGAGAGGAAGTTGCTGGGGGTGAAGAAGCCTTCTCCCAAAATCCTTTCCTGATAATCATCTCAACTCTGATCATTAATTTTCCCTAAATTGCCTCAGATTTGTCTTCTCTTTATCTTCATTTGCTAATAGTGTTCTTAAGCCATTTTATGTGTGGAGTAAGTCACAATCCCAAAACAGATTGTAAATTCTTTGAAATCCAGGACTGTGTCACTTACTTCTTTCATAGTGCTTTGTGCCATGCTTTACACATAAGTAATCAATACTCCTTCCTGTCAGATAACATTATTTAGTTACACTACTATAAAGTTTATTTTCATGCTGTATATTATTCAGTTATGTGAGCTAAATTGGCCATTTAAAATGTTAGCAAACAAACCTTTTCTTTTCAGATTTAGCTATTAACATGTAGTCTTTTCTTTAAATATTTCTCTTTTAAGTAAGAGAAATATTTTCTATAACTCTCAAGAGGGAAAGTTGGTAATACTATAAAATTCTCTTGCCTATTGAAATTTCTTGTATTTCTGTTACCCTGATTGAACTTCCTGAAAATAGAAGCACCATCTTTATGGCTTACCATTGTACTTCCATTGTCTTTATGGCTTACCATTGTACTTAGCATGTGCTCAGTAAATATTTATTGAATGAATGAATGAGCAGAAGTCTTATTTTTCATATGCTTAATAATTGTTTTCAATATTAGTTCTTACACTATCAATATTCTATGATAAGAGGACAGGCAGACAATTGTCGGAGGGGAGAGCGATTAGGGGTCTGGGCGAAAAGGGGCAGGGATTAACAAGTACAATGGGTAGTCACAGAACAGTCACAGAGCAGTCACAGAGATGCAGATCACAGCACAGGGAACGTAGTCGATGATGTCATGGTAACTGTGTGTGGGCCAGGTGACTGCCTGAAACATCAGGGGGACCACTCTAAAGGACATGATTTTCTAGCCACTATGATGTACATCTGAAATTAATACAGAATAATACTGAATGTGAACTATAATTGAAAAATAAATTTTAAAAATAATATCATATGATAATCGTGAACCAGAGTTTTATTTGTTATACATTTTCCACTAAAATTGTACCATTTGAAAGCAAAGGAGTGTTAGATATAAAAACATTTTCCACTTATAGATGCAATATAATATCATATGTAATAAATTATGTAAAATCATAAACTGTCATAGTTAATACAATTTTCAAATTCTATAGCTTTCTTCACATGAAGGTTTACCGTAATGCTTTGTATGTCTAAATCAGGTGTGCGAGAAAGAACTATACTGCATGGATTGGACAGTTAAAATAATGCAAAGACTCTGTAAAGTCTTCAGTACTTCAGTGGATAAACACAACTTCCTACAGAATGTGGCAAATGCATTTGCATGTATTATCATGGAAATGCTGCAGTCAGTCATGTCTGGTGAGTATGCGTGTAGATGGTGCGCGGGTGTGAACGAGGTGCATCTAGTCTCCACTTAAGACAGGGATAATTCTGTGTAGACTTTTATTTCTAAACTAAGAATAGTAGTAGTAGACCTTTTTGTTTGTTTTCCATGAGATATATTTAGTTCCTGGTTTTGTCACTTCTTAAATTAGGTATTTATTTTAGTGGAAAACAAAATTGAGTCTGTCTTTAAAGGAACCAATTTCAGTTTTGCAGAGCAAAAAATTTTAACTTGCTCCTCAACTATCATAATTGTCATAATAATATACTATATTTATATAGTTTTAATATATATATTTTACAGTTTTATTAGGTAGCCAACATGACAATTAGCCCTGTTTTACAGATGAGAAAACTAAAGCTTAGAGAAATTATCTGACTTGCCCTAGGTCATGAAGTTAGAAACAATAAAACATGGACCAGCATCCTTTTCTTCCAACTTCTAATTCAGTGCTCTTATAAAATTCCATGATTTCAATGCCTAACATCTGACTTAGCAAAGATCACTAACTAGTTTTCTGTTACATATTATTAGGGAAAATTGGAACATCTTATGTTTTAAATAGATCATATATTTTAAAACTTAACTGTCATTTTCCCCCCTACTGTTCATTCCTGTGTACTGGCATATAGGAGACCATGATGAAGAGGACAGAAACTTTTTGAATTTGTTCCATCTTGTGCACGCTCAGGCTAACTTCCATAAGGAGGTCCTGTATTTGACCGTGGATTCTGCCTCTACCTAAATACTGAGACAGCCTTGCATTTAGAGACTACCTCACTGAACTAACAATTAGAAGAATGCTACTTCTCCACAAAGAATAGCATCCAAGGGACTTTTTATCACCTATGTACTTCTAAAGTTGCATAGAATTTTAGTGGCAACTGTTTAGACCACTATTAATATAAAAATTACAGGCAAACTCAAGAATATATTGAGATTTCTCTGAAAAACAAGTTGTGCCTCTTCAGATTTTGGTAAACCCAACAACAAAATAGGTGGAACATTAGTGTCTCAGAATCTGGGGCCAGTCAACCTGCATGTGTGGATCGTTGAAACCAGAAAATTTTGCTTTATAACTGAGCAGACACAAGTTCATTAAACAGTATGTAACTCTTCACTTTACTTAGGTTGTGTAGGCATAGACTAGAATGTTTTGTAAAGGTTTGCAAAATGTTATTTTGGAATGTGCAGATATAAGTCACATTTTTTACCACTTTTTTGGCATGTGGTTCATACTCATTTTGTATGAACTAAGATAAAAAACCAAAGGAAGTACGCGTGTATGTGTATATCCATATTCATATGTATGTATGTATGTATGTACTTACACATATACAAATGTATCTTTCCTTCTTTAAGACAGATCATACAAAACCTATAAATAGGGTATATATTGTTTTAATACAAATCATCTTTTATTTCCTGGGGATTAAAGTGTTGCAAATAAGGAAAAATATAAGATGAAAGAAAAACACCTATTCTGCTGCCAGAACAATATGCATAAATAATTTGCACTTCTTCCTAAAGCCTTTCTCCCTATCTTAAAGAATAGAACTTGAAGGAAACTGCAAGCATGGATATTAGAGCAGCCCATGAGTCGGGTTTTTCTTCATTCAAGTGAATGAATTCCAAGAAGCTCCAGGACTATTTCAGCCTGAGTAGGACCTGCCACCACCACTTTACTATGAAAGTAGAAAATGATCGTGCCTAACTGGAGCTGAAATGCTGCTGGAGCCCTCCTGGGTCTCTCATTCTCTTCTCCTGGGTTTGACCATTTTACTCCGGCTAAAGACGCACCCCTTCCCACTCAGCTTGTTGGAGGCTGGCTTTCTTTTCCTAAGCTCTTGATTTAACTCACCTCATGAGCTCATAAAGGGAAGAAACATTAGAAGATCTAGAAATTACCTGCAGAAGTAGAGTATAAATTGTGGGAAATTCTCACATATTTGGCAACAGGGGCTCAGTAACAGATTTAATAGGATTAAGGAAGAGTGAAAATTGTGGAGAAAATATAAAATGTGTGATAAGATTTTGCTGTATTTCAGTATCATAAGCACTTAACTTTCTTTCATGGAGGGTCAGAAATTAACTGCCTTTCTTTGACGGATTGTTCAGCTATAACTCCATCTGTGGCAGGAATTGTTTCTCCAGAGTTTTTATCATTTGCATATTTATGCAAAACACAGTTTTTGCTTTTATCCTGTTTCATTTTCTTCCTCTCATTTTCATTTTCTTCCTTCCAATTCACAACTAAATTATGAAGATTAAAAGTTGGCAGATACCGGAGAACAAAACAACACCTTAATTAGCTTTTTCTTTTCTCTCTCACCCTTTTTCTCACACATTCTTTCAAAAACCTCATCCATTTAGAAAACACTGGTGACTCCAAGTTGAGGATGTATTCCATTAGATTATTTGTGGGGGGAAAGAAAAATGAAGAAAAAATTAAAATTTTAATGTAAATAATGAATATTTTGAACATTTTACTAGATAGATATTGTTTCATTCTCTTAGAGAAGCAACTTGGCTTTGTGAGGTTTCCTTGGATGCCTTGAATTGCACAAATCTTGACAGCAGTTGTTTTTAGAAACTTTACAAAGGAAAAATGGTTTAATTTAAAAGATTTTTGACCTGGATTTTGAATCTCATCACACACTTGAACTGACATGACTGTGCTGTGTATTTTTAGAGACACATTATTGCGTTATTCTCGATCACTGTGAGATTGTTATCTCACCCCCCCTAGAAATTTGGAACATAAATGGTCTGATTCATTCTTTGGGTGCAGTAGATGAATGGTATCATCTTGCTACCCATAAAAAGTAAATGAAAAATTTTTCATTCAATTATTAATAGATAAAATAACATTTGAGACTAAATTTGCAGTTTCCTCAATTCAGCAGTCCAGTTTTTTTGCTGAATACTTTTGTCATTAGGAATAAAATGTGATACCAAACTTTAAAGTGGCAGATTAGTTTGCAAAAGTCTTGTGTTATTAACATGGATGTTTAAGTGCTGACTTTCGCAATCAGAGTGCCACAAAAAAGGGACCTCTGCAAAATGAATAGCCTCACATTAAGGGACCGCCCACTTCTAACTAGCTCCTGGACTAGCAGGTCAGATCATTCATCCTGTACCTTCTTCTGACTCAGAAGATTAACCTGGGCTCCTAGCTCTCATTCCTTTTGATAGTGATTTCCTCAGTCTCCTTTGACTTCAGTTTGCAGGGTGATTTTTACTTCTACCAGAAAGCAGGCCCCAAGAACTCAATGACACATCATTAATTTATCTTTACTATTGTTTCTAAACACACACACGACACCATAATAATACTAATGACCCAAAAATGATGCTACTTTTCTTAGAAACTAATTTAAAGTCTGTATCTTGTGATAAATACTCTGTACCTTTTGAAACCATAAAACTTTGTTCTTTCTTGGGTGCTTCCTTCTCCTGCCCTTCTGACTCCTGAACTTTATCCTTTTCACAATGCAGGCAGTAAATTATTTGGGAAACCTTTCAGGCATTTAAGAAGAGTTCAAGGCTGCTCTCCATAGCATGAACAATGGGCCCCTTTTCCATCCTCAGATGACTTAGTTCGTGCTTCCAGTTGTTCTGTTGATAACAAAGATTTTTCACCTTTGGAGATTAGAGCAAGTGTGAGGTGCTCAGCCCAAGGTGCAATGGAGGAACCACCTCACATCGATAAAAAACAAACATTAACCTCTTTGTGGGGTTACGACCTGAGTTTATCTCTGTAAGTGAATAGCACTGAATTATATGACTACAGATTTTTATGTCAATAAATATTGTGAAGGGTAAAAACACAAAGCCACTACAAAGGCCTCTTGTTATTGGATACCTTACTAGCAGTGTAATGTCTTTACCAAGTGTCGTAGAGGTAGCTGTGAAACCTGTAAGAATCAGGCTATGGACCTAGGCTCCTTGGTTTATTGAGACATTACTAAAATAAGAGAGATGACCTCAAAGAATGTTGTATTGGAAAGTCTTCTCTAGGTTGAGAAAAAGTGCCAAAGAACTAAGATTTTTTTTCATCAAGAAAGCAAATATAACTGCAGAAAATTCCTCAAGTAACTATACTTTTAGAAAGCTTAGTGTAAACCTTGAAAGCCTTTTAAATGAAGAAAAACTACTTGGAGGCATTCTAAGATCACTGCTTTCTTCAAGGTGCACAAAATTGAGAAACATATTGTTATTTTTAAAGTATTGTGTTTATGGTAAAATATCTTTGATACTTAAATATTTAATATTTTCTAACTTTATTTAAGTTGTTATTTATTTATATTAATAAAATACAATTAAAATTAGAAACATGTCTAACTTGTCCAGAGTTTGTCATTATGCAAGTCGCTGAATGTGTAATTCCTTTAAATTATTTCTTGCAGAGGAACTTATTTTTATTTAAGCTGTTAATTATAGCTTTAACAATGATCAAAATATAAAATGTATTAATATAAAATAATGTTGCAACTAGCTATATACTTATATATGCATATTTATGCTTAACAATATAGTATATGAATTAATTAAATAATTTCATTTACTTGCAATGACTCACAAATTGTGTAACCATCTGTAAGTAGAACAGTATTTCATACTATTCTACCAAATTCAGAGACCAAATTCCTAACTGATTAATATTTCAACTGCTGCTAAAATAGATATGCTACAATTATAGTTTCACACCAGTGTCAAAAACCAAATACATAATTAGGTATTGTATATTACCTGCAATTTCCCATGACTACAAGATCTTACAGTATTTTTCTAAGAACCAAGAAGTTGTTAACTATTTCTAAATGTATCTTCCTTAGTATATGTTTGAGTTTATAATGAAAGTTGTGTCGGTGACTTTTTGTTGATTTTGTTTATAATAGATGGGAGTAAAACTAACTTAAAACAGGCCATGCTAGGCTTAGCAAACATTTGGAGGTGGATAAAGGCAAAGTATGTAATTTACAGTTTTCCACTTCAACTGTTCTTTTGCAGTTTCTTAAGAGAAATTCCCATTATTTTTGAGTAATTTAAAATGATACTCTTTTCTAAGAGTATCATTTTAAGTAAGAGTATCATTTTAAGGGATCTAAAGTATCAATCTAAGGGATTCGGAAGTTTGGATAATGCTCATTTTAAGCTTTTTAACAGCAAACAAATTTTCTGAAACTTAATAAATTATGTCATGCCAGGATTCAGACTCAGAAGTTTGGATATGATTCCATGCACCCAGAGCAATGAGTCTTAGGTGATTCTAATTAGTGACATTTATCTTTCCAATATTTAACTATTTCCCAAAATATATCCCCTTTCTCCTGAAATAAAATACGTCACTTTTCCATACAAGCCCCTTGTTTTTAATCAGGAAAGCATGTATTAGTGAAGTAATTCATAGTATTATGCCACATTATTTTTTTGTAAGTAATCTACAATTATTTAGAGATGTTTTTACTACATCGATGTAGGCCAAGTACAATCCCCGTTTCACAGGACACGATTGCCCTATGACACAGACTTGAAAACTGTATACGAAACCTCATATTAGAGAAGTAACTTTTCCCAGTGTTTTACTATGTTTTAAGATGCTACTATACAAGTAGTTTAGCCCTGGCTGGTGTGGCTCAGTGGATTGAGTGTCGGCCTGTGAACCAAAGGGTCACTGGTTCGATTCCGAGTCAGGGCACATGCCAGGATTGAGGACCAGGTCCCCAGTGTGGGGCACGCAAGAGGCAACCACACACTGATGTTTCTCTCCCTATCTTTCTCCCTTCCTTCCCCTCTTTCTAAAGATAAATGAATAAAATCTTAAAAAAAAACACAATAGTTTAAACATGAGATTTTAAAAACTATTACCAAAATGATGAACACTGTAAAACAGTTACAAAGTGGCATATTATAGCATGGACATAGGCATAAAGTCATAAAATTTCTTCCAAATATAATTATTTCACACTTAACTGAAAATATAGGTAACCTTTCTGTTCTTATATTGTGTCCAGTGCCAGTGGGACATATCACCGGTGTATAACTGAAATTGGCTGAATTGATTAGCTGTTTCAACTTTGTATGGATACAGACTGAAGAGCTTTGACTTC